AGACCAGAAATGCCGTTCTGCCCTTTTTTTTCCCCCCACAATGGCCAAGTTGAGAACACTGAGATTGGTATTCACAATGCAACCCCAAGCAAATTTGAGCTTTCTCTCTCTAGTCCTCCTTGGTCTATAACAGGAATGCCCCTTACTAAGCCGGTGAACACAGCTATGAATCAAGACACCCTGCTTCATGGGGAAACCTTGTTTGTCGTTCCCACCACTGATTTGAACCATATAGCCCTTCCATTCATCACCAAGAGCATCAGCAGCAACTTCTGTGGCCAGACACTTCCCATAAAAGATACAAAGTTTGCATTTGTCATAAAAAGCACTCATTTTAAGTATACAGTTGGATGGTTTTGACAGATATATTCCCTAGTATATGCGCTACCGCAGTCTAGATACAGAATACTTCCATTACCCCAAGAGTTTCTTGCTCTTCTTCCTAGTCAATCTTCACCTCTACTCTCAGCACCAGGCAATGACTGCTACACTTCCTATTACTATCAATTAATCTTCCCTAGAGTTTCATATAAGAGGAATCATATAGTACATAATTTTCAGGAGATAGGGCTTCTTTCACTCAACATGTTTTAGAGAATCACTCATGTTGTTGCATGTATCAATAGATTGTTCCCTTTTATTCCTGAGTAGTATTCTCTTGCCTGGATACTCCACTATTTGTTTGTCCATTCATCTGTTGATGGGCATTTTGGTTGTTTCCAGTTTGAGGCTATTATGAATAAAGCTACTGTGAACATTTAAAATGGAAGTCTTTGAATGGATATTTGATTTCTCTTGGGGAAATAATCTAAGAGTGGAATTGCTGGGTCATAGGATAAGTGCATTTCTAAGTTTATAAGAAACCATCAAGTTGTTTTCCAAGAGTTGTGCTATTTTACGTTTCTGTCAGCAAAGGGTGACAGTGCCAATTCATCCACATCCTTATCAACATATGGTATTTTCAATCCCTTTTTTTTATTTTGAGAGTACATTTATTAAAGCTACAGACAGTGAAACAAGGAAGGGATTAGGATAGAAGAAGCAACAGAAGAGAGCCTAGGTGGAGCTGCTCTGGCTCTCTAGAAACGTCATGGGAAAGGAGTGAGACAAAGCTGGGCCGCTATCAGCTCTCTGGAGAGTTGGAGAAAAGGGGACTGTTGGGACATGTTCAGGGAGTTAGCCCAGGAGACCTTTAGAGTTTAGGAGATGTAAGCCTGTGGAGGAAGAAAAGGGGGAAGGGAAAAGCCATAGGCATGCTCCTGGGAGGGAGAGGACACCAATCTTTTTTAGCAGTTTCCATAGGTGTGTCATGGGTTTTGTGTTAATGAAGTCTAATTTATTAAAAATTTTTAATGGTTTATTTTTATAGTGTGCTAAGAAATTTTGGTTACCCCAAGATGGCAAATTTTTCCACTGTGCTTTATTCTAGGAAATTTCTAGTTTTAGTTTTTTTTTTAAGTCTGTGATCCATTTTTAGATAATGTGCAGGTGTGTGGGAGGGTCAAGGTTCATTTTTCCCCATATACACATCTCTTGTTTTAGCACCAGTATTGAAAGATTATCCTTAACTAATTTAATTACCTTAACACCTTTGTCAAAAACCAATTGATCATAAATATTTGGATCTGCTTCTGTACTCCATTTTGTTCCATTGATCCTATGTGTCTATTTTTATGCTAATACCTCACTTCCTTGAATATTGTAGCTTTATAGTAAGTCTTAAAATCAAGCTGTGTAAATCCTCAACTTTGTTGTTTTTCAGAATCTTGTCTACTCTAAGTCCTTTATATTTCCACATAAATTGTAAAATCAGTTTGTTAATTACTAAAAAAAAATGCCTAGTGGGATATTTATTAGAACTACATTGAATCTATAGGTCAATTTGAGGACAGTTAACATCTTAAAAATATTGTGTTCAAATCCATTGACATAGCATAGCTGTCTTTTTTTAGGTTTTCTTTAATTTCACTCATCGATATCTTATAGTTTTCAGCATAAAAATCTTACATATATTCTGTTAACTTTATCCCAAATAATTCGTGTTTTTGGCAAGATTGCAAAAAAGTCTCACTTTGTTAATTTCAACTTCTAGTTGTTCATTGCTGGTATTTAGAAATACAATTGATTTTTTAACATCTTGGTAAGTTTTACCATCTTAAACATTTTTAAGTGTACAGTTCAGTGGCATTAAGTACATACACAATATTGTGCAAACACCACCACCATCCATCTCCAGAACTCTTTTCATCATGCAAAACTGATGCTCTGTCCCCATTAAACAGTAACTCACCACTTCTTCCAACCCCTGGTCCCTTGCAACCACAATTCTATGTTCTGTGTCTATAATTTTGACTGCTATATGTACCCCATTTAAGTGGAATCACACACTATTTGTCCAATTGTGACTGGCTTATTCCATATAGCGTAATGTCCTCAAGGTTCATCCATGTTGTAGCATGTATCACAATTCCCTACCTTTTAAAAACTGAATAATATTCCATTGTATGTATATACCACCTGTTTATCCATTCATCTGTTGGTGGACACTTGGGTTGCTTCCATCTTTTAGCTATTGTGAATAATGCTTCTATGAACACGAGTGTACAAGGATCTGAGTCCCTATTTTCAATTCTTCTGAGTATATACCTAGGAGTAGAATTTCTGGATCCTATGGTAATTCTAAGCTTAAATGTTTTAAGGAACAGCCACAGTGTTTCCATAATGGCTGCACCATTTTACAGTTCCACCAAAAATGCACAAGTGTTCCAATTTCTCCACATCCTCTTGAATACCTGTTATTTTCTGGGTCTTGGGGGTTTTTTTGTGTGTTTTTTGTTTGTTTGTTTGTTTTTTAGAAATAGCTATCCTAATGAGTGTGAAGTGGTCTCTTGTGTTTTTGATTTGCATTTCCCTAATGAGTAGTGCTATTGAAAACCTTTTCATGTGGATGTTGACCAGTTGTATATCTTTTCTGGAGAAATGTCAAATTCTTTTGCCTATTTTAAATGTTTATTTTTTATTTGTTGAGTTATAGGAGTTCTTTATATATTCTGGATATTAACCCATTACCAACATATAATTGGCAGACATTTTCTCCCATTCTGTGGATTGTCTTTTCCCTTTTTTGGTAGTGTTCTTTGAAGCACAAACACTTTAAATTTGATGAATTCCAAATATCTATCTTTTATTTTGTTGCCTGTACTTTTGGTGTCATATCTTAAAAAAATCACTGACAAATACAGTGTTATAAAGGCTTCCCCCTATGTTTCATTCTGAGACTTTTATAACTTTAGCTTTTAGATCCATTTTGAGTTAATTTTTGTATATAGTAGAAGGGAAGAGTCAGGTTTATTCTTTTGCATGTGGATATCTGGTTTCCACAACATCATTTATTGAAAAGACTGTCCTTTTTCCATTGAAAGGTCTTGGCACCCAAGTTGAAAATCATTTGGCTATGTATGTGAGGGTTTATTTCTGGGTTTTCTGTTCTGTTTCATTTGTCTGTATCAGCGCTTACATCAGGATCACGCTGTTTGGATTACTATAGCTTTGTAGTAAGTTTTGAAATGAGATGCGACTATTCCAACTTTGCTCTTCTTTCCTAAGTTGTTTTTGGCTACTCAGAGTCCCTTGAGATTACATACCAATGTTGTTTTTTAAATTTGTACCAAAAAACACCATTGGTATTTTCATAAGGAATGCACTGAATCTGTAGATCACTTGTTTATCTTTGTTTCTTTTTAAATGTTTTCATTGTGGTGAAATATACATAATTTTCATGTCTTCTTTAAGTTTTTCTTCTTTTTGTCTTCTATTCTCTTATGGCATTTTTCCATTCGTGTTACTGTATTGTTCATTTCAAATAGTTCCTTTTTTCAGATCAACAAGGTCACATTTTATAATTTGTTTCCTACAATCTTCTGTGATGTTGAAAGTGTTTAACAACTGCTATGGTACAGACAACAAATCAGAATGGATACTAGTTGGGAAAAAACACTGTAACAGTATCAATATGTACTATTGATTATCAACCTACTTCTATATATTTTATTTCTACAAACTTGAAAACATAGGTGTTTCATAGCCAGTTTTCAATAACTCTGGCATCTACATCTTGAGAATCTATTTCTGCTCTTTGTTTTTTCTGTTGATTCTCACTTACGGTGCCTTGTTTTGTAGTGTGCTTGATTATTTTTAATGTTTTCTAATCATGATTCTTGAAAAAAAAATATTAATGGAAATATTTTGAAGCCTAAAGGAGACTTCCTCTGTAGAGGATTTATATTTGCTTCTTCAGATGTTTGAGACCAATGTAAACTAAATTTATAGCTTGAGATCTTTCAGCCTCCCATATAATATCATTTGGGGTGGTAAATACATACAGAGTCTATTAATTAGTCTTACACCTCAGGGATTGGGTCTCCCCACCCTATTTTGCTGCATATGTCTCACAGCCAAAGTAACTTTTTGGCAGTCCCGTGGGGATGTTGGTGAAGTGTGTTTACTTCTGGTTTGCTCTTAGCCTACTTAGCCTACGATTGTAACTCCTTGAGCTTTGATATCTGTTTCCCTGACCTAGGGAGGGCCACTAAAATTAAAGTTAAAATTTTCCTGCGTTTACTAATGCCCACAAGAAAAAAAATGACTTTAATTCTCTGCTTATTTCTCTGAGAACTCACTTTTTCTTAGATTTTGCTTGGCAATAAATTTACATATATTGTCAGCTGTTTTTAGAATTAAAAAAGTTTACCCAACATGTTTGGTTGTTTTCAGTAGGAGGGTTGGTCTGACATGTATAATGCACCCTATTTTCAGAAGCAGAACTCAACTCAAATGTCTTTAGCATTTTAAGAAAACAGTCCTTTAAAGACTTCTCTTAGATTCATGTATTTTCATTATGAGTAAAACTTAGCCATTGTCATTATGTTAACAATATTAGCAAAATACAGTAAGATCTTCCTTAAAGCTTTTGTAAAAGAGACACAATATTTTTTTTTCAGGCTAAAGGAGCAGTGACAGAAGCTGAACAACTTGATCCTGGATGTATTTTCACTCAATTTTATATGTTCAAGATTGCAGTCTTGGAAGGCAATTGTGACTCAGGTATAAATGTTATTTATGAGATACATTTAACTGTTAACACAAAGAATACAAATATCTTCTTTGACCATAATAGGAAAAAAAAAACATTGTTTGTAAGACAATGATATATATGTATATAATCTATTATATCTATATCTATAATATAATCTGTATTATATTATATATAATATCTATTTATCTATAATATTATAGATAAATCATATAATATATCTATATAGATATATATCTATTCTCACTTTTCTACATAAAGATAATACAACCATGCAAAAAGAGACTATGAACACTTATGTAAGAATAAAAGTACAGGGTCTACCTATTGAGGGAATAGGATCTAGGCGGATGTGGGACAAAAATAGGGGGGCAAGTCTTGTCATGATATACTTTTTTATACGTTATATTATTTGAACCACCCTATTCAAAAATTAAGTTTAAAAAGTTGTAGGGGCAGGGGAGAGTATACCGTAAACATCTATCAGTTAAAAATTGTCTTTAGAGAAAGGAAGTCTCCAGGGCACCTTTGGACTGTTTTCACCTCTTTGGGAGATGATTGGTGAGAGATTAAGCTTTGAAAAGGAGTTTCCACAAAGTAGACAGTGTTGGAATTACTCACATGAACCTCATCCCATTAGTGCTCTTGTCTTTTCCATTAAGTTAAGCATAGTTTCCTAGTTGATGTGCCTGCAAACACATGTATCTCGACTTGATTAGGATATGCTGTGACATTATTCCTGTTCAGTTCTCAGAGTAGCTGAGCATATCCTGCAGCAGTGTGAGCTCCAGTCTGGTTGCTCTTTGTGAAGGGCACAAGATGATAAATTGAGAGACTTGAATCCAAACAGAATGTATACTAATTCAATTAAGTTAACTATTTATGAATACCTATTATATACAATGGACTCAGTTATTCAATCCATAAGAGAAAGGAAGATGACTTATTCTGCACTGAAAAAGAAATTGTCAAGAATAGTAATGATACCTGTGTATTAGTTAAGTAGTAGCAAATTGAAGTCAACTCTTTATCAGGGTTAATATTGTATTGGTGTCATGTCCATCAGTGATGTTTTCATTAGACACTTCTGGGCATTTGCTTTATTTGATGTATTATGTTGAAACATAAAAGAACCTGAAAATTTTTGCCAGAAGAAATTGCAAAAAAATAGATTTCCTATTAAACCTTTTATTTTAACATTCTATTAAAATAATTTTGCTTTTAAACATAGCATCAGTTCAATATTTTTACTTTTTTCCAGTTATTTGTGACCATTTTTAAAGTCATATTTATTGAAGGTACATAGAATAGAATTTACCCTCGCTAGTAATGTATGACTCTATGAAGTTTGTTTATATTAATAATTCTATGAGTTTTGACAAGTGCATATAGTTGTGTAACCACTAGTATGATCAAGATAACAAAATATTACCTTGAGCCCCTTTGTTGAAACTCCTTCCTATCACTTCCAGCCCTGGAAACTACTGATCTCATTTATATTTCTACAGTTTTGCCTTTTCTAGAATGTCATATAAATGGAATCATGCAGTATGAAGCTTTTTGAGCCTGGCTTCTCTCACTTAGCATATTGCATTTGAAACTCATTTATACCCTATGTGTTTGCATAGTTTGCTCTTTTTTATTGCTAAGTTGTATTCCACAGTATGCATGTACCACTCTTTTGCTATCCATTTACCAGTTGAAAGACATTTGGATAGTTTCCAGTTTGGGTGATTATGAATAAAAGTGCTATAGGTATCTGTTCATAGATGTGTGATGATAAGATTTCACTTCTCTAGAGTAAATATCTAGGAGGGGGATTACTGTCTAAATAATTTTTATTTCACAATTATAGTTGACATAAAATATTATATTAGTTTCAGGTGCACAACCTCTTGATTAAACATTTATATAAATTACAAAGTAATCACCCCTGAACCCATTTGACACTATGTATAGTTATTATAGTATTACTGAGTACATTCTCTATGCTGTATTTTATATCTCCATGACTATTCTGTGACTACCAATTTGTGCTTTTTTTATTCTTGTTCAGTTACAGTTATCCCACTTTTTCCCCCATTGCTCTCCCCTGCCCCGCCCCCTCCTGCTCCCACAGTCAATTCCCACCCAGTTGTCCATGCACATGGGTCCTTTATACATGTTCCCTGACTTGCCCCATTGTCCCCCTCCCCTCTGGTCACTGTCAGTTTGTTCTTTATTTCCATGTCTCTGGTTCTGTTTTTGCTCATTTGTTTGTTTTGTTAACCCTGTCACGTTTTTCTTCCATTGCCCCAACCCACCTCCCAACTGGCAACCATCAAAATGTTCTTGAATCTATGAGTCTATTTCTGTTATGCTTGCTTGTTTATTTTGTTTAGATTCCACATGTAAGTTAAATTGAGGTATTTGTCCTTGTCTGATTTATTTAACTTAGCAAAATCCCCTCTAGGTATTGCAGGTGGCAATACTTCATTCTTGTTTATGGCTGAGTCATATTCCATTGTATATATGCACCCTTTCTTTATTAATTCACATATTGATGGATACTTAGGTTGCTTTTGTATCTTGGCTAATGTAGGTAATGTTGCCATGACAATGTAGATGTATATGTCTTTTCAGTTTAGCATTTTTGGATTTTTTTTTTGATAAATACTCAAAAGTGGAATTGTCAGATCCTTTGTCTCCTTTTATAGCCTTTCTTTTAAAGTCTATTTTGTCTGGTCTAAGTATTGCTACCCAGCTTTTTGTTTTGTTTTGTTTCCATCAAATATCTTTTTCCATCCCTCTGCTTTCAGTCTGTGTACGTCTTTCCATCTGAAGTGAGTCTCATATAGACAGCACATGTAAGGATCTTGTTTTGTTATCCATTCAGCCACCCATATATTTTTTGACTAGTGCATTTAATCTATTTGCATTACATTTCATATAATACTGGTTTGGTGGTGATGAATTCCTTTAGCTCTTTCTTGTCTGGGAAGTCCTTTATCTGTCCTTTTAGGTTCAAGGGTAGGGTTAGCTCTGAATCATTTTGCATTTAATTTTTGCATTTGATTTAAGGTATGGATTGAAGTTCATTCTTTTACACATATCTATCCAATCATTCCAGCATCATTCATTTTAAAACTATCCTTTCTGAACAGAATTGAATTTGCACCTTTATTGAAAAATCACTTGTCATAAATGTGTATGGGTCTCTTTCTGGACCCTTCATTCTGTTCTATTAATCTATTCATGTATCTTTACATCATTCCCCCACTGTATTGATTATTATAGCTATATAATAAATTTGAAATCATGCAGTGTTAGTCCTTCAACTTTGTTCTTGTCTTTCAAATTACTTTGGCTATACTAAGTCTTTTGTGTATCTCTATGAATTTTATAATTAGTTTTTCATTTTCTACAAAAGTGAATATTGAATGGGATCACATTGAACCTATATATTGGTTTAGAGAGGATTGTCATCTTTCAATCCATGAACAAGTTGTAAACCTCCATTTATTTGAGTCTTTAATATCTCACAGAGATCTCTTCTTTCAGTGTATAGGTCTTGTGCATCTTTTGTCAGATTTCTTCCTAAGAATACAATATTTTATACTATTTGAAATAGCATTATAAAAAAACCTTAAGTTTCTGATTGCTCATTGCTAGTATGTAAAAATACAAATGATTTTTATATATTGACCTTATATCTTACAAACTTGGTAAATTCACTGATTAGTTCCAGTAACTTTCTTGTATGTTCTATCAGATTTTCCTAGTTAGATGATCATGTTGTCTGTATATGAAGACAATTTTACTTGCTCTTGTCCAATCTGGGTACAATTTTTTTGTTTTGGTTTTGTTATATTTGTTAGTATCTCCTGTTCAGTGTTGCGTAAAATTGGTGAGAGCAGACATCCTTGGCTTTTTCCTGATTTTAGAGGGAAGGTATTTATTTAGTCTCCAAATATGAAGTGTAATGTTAGGGGTAGGCTTTTCACAGATACCTTTTGTCAGGTTGAGGAAGTTCCCATCTATTTCCAGTTTCCTGGGAGTTGTTTTGTTTTGTTTTCTTGGTCTGGGAATGGATGTTGAATTTAGTCATATGTTTTTTCTGCATCTACTGAAGTAACCAATTTTTTAAGTTTGTTAATGTGATCAGTTACATTGATTTTGAACTGTTAAACCAACACTGCATTCTTGGGATAAATTCCACTTGCTCATAATATATTCTCTTTTTTTTTAGACTCAGGATTCTTAAGGTATATTCCCAGCTGCAGAATCACTGGGTCCAAAGGCAATTCCATTTTTAGTTTTTTGAGGAAATTCCGTACTGTTTTCCACAGCGGCTTCGCCAGTCTGCATTCCCACCAACAGGGCACTAGGGTTCCCTTTCTCCGCATCCTTGCCAGCGCTTGTTGTTTGTTGAATGATGGCCATTCTGACAAGTGTGAGGTGATACCTCATTGTGGTTTCAATTTGCATCTCTCTGATTGCTAGTGATGGTCAAGTTGATTAATATTGTTAAATGTACCATATCCTTGCTGATTTTCTGTGTATTTATTGAGGGAGGGTTTTGAAAACTTTGACTATCATTGTGGATTTGTTCATTTCTCCTTGCAATTCAATCAGTTTTTGCTTCTCATATTTAGAAATTTTGTTATCAAGTATGTAAATATTTAAGATTGTTATGCCCTCATAATGAATTGATTCTTTTTATCATCATGAAGTGACCTTATATCACTGGTAATATTGTTTGTTCTAAAATTTATTTTGTATGATATTAATATAACCCTCTAGCTATCTTTTGATTACCTTTACCATAGTATTTTTTTGTCCCATGCTTTTTCTTTTAACCAATTTTCTCTTTAGATTTAAAGTGTGTTTTTTTGTCCATCGGTAGATGAGTGGGTAAAACAGCTGTGGTACATTTACACAATGGAATACTACTCAGCCGTTAAAAAAAAGAAGATAATACACTTTGTGACATCATGGATGGATCTGGAGAGTATTATGCTAAGTGAAATAAACCAATCAGAGAAAGACAAATACCATATGATTTCACTCATATGTGGAATCTAATGAACAAATTGAACTAACAAGCAAAGTAGAGACAGATTCATAGAGAGCAGGCTGGCAGCTCGGGGCAGGGGCAGTTGGGGGTGGCAAGATCAAGCCGAAAAGAAAAAGAACTCATGACAATGGACAACAGTGTGGTGATTGTGACAAGAGGGGATGGTGGAGGTGGAAGAGGGTATAAGGGGGATAAATGGTAATGGAAAAAATACATTAAAAAATAGGCAAACAAAAACAAAGTATGTTTCTTGTAGGTACCACATAGTTGAAAGTTGCTTTCTTTAATCCTGACTATCTCTGCCTTTTAATTGGGTCATCTAGACCATTATATTTAACGTGATTATTGATGTGGTCAGGTTTAAATTTAACATCCTGTGATTTGTCTATTTGTCCCATCTATTCTTTGATGCCATTTTACTTTTTTCTGCTTTCTTGTGGATTAATTGAATTTTATGGTTGTATTTACCTTATTTTGGCTTATTAGCTATAATTCTTTGTCTTGTTTTATTTTTTATTTACCTTTATTTTTGTTGTTTGCACTATTACAGATGTCCCCATTTCCCCCTCCTTCCTTCTGACCATCACCACACTGTTTTCTGTGTCTGTGGGTCATACATATATATCCTTTGGCTAATTCCTTCACCTTCTTTCATGTACTCCCTACCTCCTCCACCCGTTTGACAGCTGTCATTATGTTCCATGTATCTATGCCTCTATTTCTATTTTGTTCGTTAGTTTATTTTGTTCATTAGATTCTACATATAAGTGAGATCATCTGGCATTTGTCTTTCTCTGACTGGCTTATTTCACTTAGCATAAGTCTCCAGGTCCATCCATGCTGTCTTTACTACATATATTTAACTTACAGTCTACCTTTAAGACATAACGGAATATAATACTATCATTTATTTATTCTATTTCATTCTGTATTGTATTTCATTTTATAGATATACCAAAATGTATTTAGCCTATCCATTGTTGGTAGAATTTAGGTTGCTTCCAAATTTTACTCTTGTAAATATTGCTGGATGAACATACTTGTTTTTGTTTGCTTTTGCATGTATATCCGTATGGTAAGTTCACAGAGGTGAATTGTTCAGTTGGACACTTTTCTGACATTTAAGTCCTCCTTAGAAGTTTAGCAATTTAGATGACTATGAAAATTAACTAATATTTTAAAGATATTAGTGCTCATAAAATGCATTCCAAAGTCGTTGTAATATAATTAACCATTGATAGCTATTATCTTTCATAAAAGTATCTCATATTTTGAATTGTTGCCTTGTTTTTCAGCTCTGGAAGCAATTACTGCTTTCAAGGATTCATTAATGGCTGAAGACCTAGGAAAGAATGACATATTTACAGATTCTGGTTCACATGGCAAGCTTTTAGGCTTAGCTGCCCAATTTGCTCTAGAGGTAACTATTATGTATCTATTTATGAAATTTTTACCTCTTTTTCATTTTGAAAGACAATTTAAGCACAAGAGAGACCTGCCCTTACTTCCTTTACTATTTGGCCTCATATTTTCACACCAAACTTGGCTGCAAAATTGTTTTATTTCTCTTCATTTCTTTATACTATAAATGAAACAAAGTGATGTAACAGATTTGTGTTTAAAACTACAGAAAAATAAATATAACAAAACATTAATTTTAAAAAGAAACACCAAATTTAAAATGCGATGCCACACAAATACAGTAGTTATCTATTAAGAAATTTATCTTTCTCACCAACTTGAAAAAATAAAACCAGTTTAAATCCCCATGGACCTTTTCAATTCTTGACCACAACGCGATTTTACTTTAGAAGTTATAAGTATTTGCACTCTGTTTTTTACTTATAAAATTAGAAATATACTTAGAAACATATAAGATTAGGAAAAGCATCATAGCAGCTGTGGAGGTTTTAGACTTGGTGATAAACTAAATTCTTAATTTCATCATTTCTAAAATAAAGGTAATACCTTCCTACAGAATTGTGGAAATTAACTGAGAAGGTAGCCAAAAATGTGATTTGAAGCTTGGTCTACAAATATAGTATTTCTGTTCTAATTAACGTATGTACAACCTGGCCACAGCAGCTATCTCTTCTACTTTATCTTATGTTACTACCCTGTGTCATCATCATATGTGCAATCGTGGGGTGAAGGAGAAAGTTTCTTAAGACCAAAAAATGAAGCAGGCAACTCCATAGAATATAATAGAATTTATTATAAAGCAATTTACTCATGGGAAGATCTGGTGAGAGTGGAACAGATGACTCAGCTATTATGCACAGATTATTCTTCACTACCAGACCCCTGTTATAGTTTTATAGTATAACTTTGGTGCTAATGACTGACAGAACAAAGGGACAAAGAATGCAGTAGTGCCAGGGGTCATTACCTCCTGGTGGTCTTGTGATAGATGATTGTTTATAATTGATACTGTTGCCACTTTGATATTTATCTCAATTGATGCCATTCTGGGTGTATGGCTATGTTTTAAGGAATGCAGATAACCATCAATTAGAAGGCTTTGATATGCTTTCTAAGGACAATGAGGTTGGTCAAAGGTCACAGCATGAAATTTAAAAGTGAAATGGAATTGGGACACAAAGATGGGGTTGGTTTTGTTCACATCTACATCTATACAGCACAGTAATATAAGCTACCATTACCTTAGCCACAAGATCTAGAATGGTGGAGACATAAGCCTTCTATCACTTGAGCTGAACATAGTGTCTCTCAAACAGGCCAATCATACTCCTTTTTCCATGTCTTGTTTATACCATCCCATCTTTTTAAAAATGTTCTTGCTTATTCAAATGCTACCCTTTCAAAGCCCAATCTAAGGTTTCCCTCCACTGTGGAGACTTCCCAAATGAATTCCATCTTCATCCTTTCTTCCTATTCAGAATTTCAGTAATTTGTAACATATATGCTAGTTACGGCCTTATATTGCTAATGCATGACTTGTCTATCCAAATTGACTTGTGATATCTTTGAGGACCATATTTCTAGCACCTTGCCCAAAGTAGTTACTAAGTACAGTTTGAATGATCTATGTATTAATGTTAATAAATAGGGTAATAGAACTCTTGGAGGAGGAAAAATATTTGGCAGATGCAGATACAGGATGTGTTTGTGTAGGACGGTGAAGAGGAGGAAATGAGAGAAATGTGGTAGTGGGGAAGCCGAAGGCAAATACCTTTTTAAAGGAAGGTTTATAAATTTATATTCAATATGGAAAGCAGAAGAATTATGGAACTGTACTTCTGAAAAGAAAAATGGTTTTAATGAGGAGGAAAAAACCCTAAAAGTAGTTTGAATTAGAGGATGGGTGACCAAACCCAAGAAATTGAGTATATACCTACAAAAGAACAAGTGTGGTATCCAGTTTTTACTTACTACAGCTGCTTTATAAATGACATTTGAAATACTAGTGAGAATGTCATTTATTCAGCAAATATTTATTTTATTATTTATTATCTAGTATGTGCCAGGTACTGTTTTAGTGTCTTGGGATAACTAAGTAAATGAAACAATGATATGCTTTCTTGGAGCTTACATTCAAGCAGAAGAAGATAATAAACAGTCAGAAAATAAGCAAATTTGTATAATATATAAGAAGTTGATGGGTCATATAGAAAAAATAGAGCAGAATAAAAAGGATCAGGAGTGAGAGTGCGCTGGATTGGTGTGAGTTATTTTAAATAGGGTAGCCAGGGTAGGTCTCATTGAGAAGATGACATTTGTATAAAGACTTGAAATTGGTAAGGGAGTTAGCCCCACAAATGTACCGTGATGGGCAGTGAAGGCAGAGTATTCTAGGCAGAGGTAAAAGCCAGTAGAAAGACCCTAAGGTAAGGTACCAAGTACAGCAAGGTTGGCAAGGCTACTAATGTTTCTGGATAGGGAAGAGTGGGTTTCTGACGCTAATGTGAACCTGTTCTGTTTTTGTCAATGAACTGTATCTTTGTTCGGTCATCTTGCAGTATCTCTTTTAAGAATACAAAATGAACAAATTTATTTTTTTTCTTGTCCTTAATGGACAGGAATATAGATAAAATTTTGTAACCAGCAGTTTGAGATGTCATTTAACATATTGTATCTTGTCCTTTTTAGAATGGACAACAAGTTGCGGGAGAAAAAGCTTTGGAATATTTAGCTCTATGCTCAGAAGACCCAGAACAAGTCCTGACAGCTGTAAAGTAAGTAATTCACACCCTATAGATAGGAAAGGATTTCCTGTGTGTGTGCATACCATATTTCTTTATCCATTCATCCAGACACTTAGATTGTTGGGTTTCATATCTTGACTATTGTGAATAATGCTGCAGTGAACATGGCAGTGCGGCTATCTCTTCAAGGTCATGATTTACTTTCCTTTGGATATATACCCAGGTGTGGGATTCCTGGCTCACATGGTAGTTATATTTTTAATTTTTGAGAAACCTTACTGTTTCCCATAGTGCCTGTACAAATTTATAATCCCACTAACAGTGCACAAGAGTTCTCTTTTCTCCGCATCCTCATAAACACTTCTCTCTTATCTTTTTATGATAACAATTCTAACAGGTGTGAGATGATATCTCACTGTGGTTTTGATTTGTACTTCCCTGATGACTAGTGATGTAGAGCATCTTTTCATGTACCAGTTGTCCATCTATATGTCTTTGGAAAAATGTCTATTCAGACCCTTTGCCCATTTTAAAATCAGATTGGTTAGGGGTTTTGTTTGTTTGTTTGTTTGTTTGTTTGTTTTGCTATTGAGTCATATGAGTTTCTTTTTTTCAAAGATTTTATTTATTTATTTTTAGAGAGAGGGGGAGAGAGGGAAAGAAACATTGATGTGTGAGAGAAACATCAATCAATCAGTTGCCTCTTGCACAGCCCGGACCCAGGCACATTCCCTGACCAGGAACTGAACCAGCGACCTTTTGGTTTGTGGGATGACACCTAACCCACTGAACCACACCAGTCAAGGCATATGAGTTTCTACTATATTTTGGATATTAACCCCTTATCAGATACATGGTTTGCAAATATTATCTCCCATTCTGTAGGTAGCATTTTCATTTTGTTGATTTTTTTTCTTTTCTGTACAGAAGCTTTTTAGTTTGATGTAGTCCCACTTACTTGTTTTTGCATTTGTTGTTTATGCTTTGGGGGTCATATCCAAAAAAAATCATTGTCAAGGAGCCCTTTCCCTGTGTTTTCTTCTAGGAGTTTTGTGGTTCTAGGTCTGATATTTAAGTCTTTAATCTGTTTCAAGTTAATTTCTTTGTGAGTAATACAAGATATGAGGTCCGGTTTCAACTTTTTTTGCATATGAATACTCAGTTTCCCCAACACCATTTATTGAAAAAGCTGTCATCTATTGACTGTTCTTGGCTACCTTGTCTAATATTAGTTGATTGTATATACATGGACTTATTTCTGGACTCTATTTTATTACATTGGTCTATATGACTTTTTTATGCCAGTATTGTGCTGTTTTGATTACTATAGCTTATAGTATAACTTTAAGTCAGGATGTGTGATCCCTTCAGCTTTGCTGTTTCTCAAGATTGGTTTGGCTATTTGGGGTCTTTTGTAGTTCCATAGGAATTTTAGGGTTTGTTTTATATTCCTGTTAAAAATTCCATTGGAAATTTGATAGGGATGCTTAATTTAAAAAAGAAGAGCCCTGGCTGATGTGGCTTAGTTGGTTGGAGCTTTGTCTCATACACCATAAGGTTGTGGGTTCAATTCCTGGTCAGGGAACATACCAAGGTTTGAGGTTCAACCTAGGCATGTTTCTCTCTCTGTCTCCTCCCCCCCCTTTCCTCCCTTTCTCTTTCTCTAAAAGCAATGAAAAGATGTCCTTTGGTGAGGATTTAAAGAAAGATAACAGCTGAACCTGATTTTCCCCCTTTTCTCTTTATGACTGAAAATGGTTTATCAAAAGGAAACTTATACAATAGTCAGGCAGAGGAAAGTGAGGTTAGGACATGATAATGCCTCGTGATGTGACTGAGACTATGCCAGTGGGGGAAACTGGAAACCAGAGGGCTCCTGTTGGTCAACTCTATTTGAGGCCACACTGCCAAAGGGAAATGGAGTCACAAATAAAAGTATCAGAAGGAGTCTTGAGATATTTGCATGCCTTCAGTCAGATAAATATCTAAAATCATTCAGGATAGATGGTATTTTTTTAAAGATTTTTAGAGTTTGGCCCTGGCTGGTGTGACTCAGTGGACTGAGTGCCCGCCTGCAAACCAAAAGGTCGCCGGTTCAATTCCTGGTCAGGGCACATGCCTGGGTTGTGCACCAGGTCCCCAGCTGGGAGTGTGCAAGAAGCAACCAATCAGTATTTATCACACATTGCTGTTTCTCTCCCTCTCTTTCTCCCTCCCTTCCCTTCACTCTAAAAATAAAATCTTTTGAAAAAAGATTTTTAGGGTTTGAAACTTTACAAACTGACCTTATTTTGTTGGTTTGTTATTATGTTGCCAGATCCCTTCAAAGAATAGCCATCCTAGTTTACGTGGAACCCAAATGCCAGTCCAGGTTCCTATATGGGAAGAAAAAAATATAAAGACTTGTTTGTATACCATACTTGATGTTCTAGCAGGTGATCTGGGGCAATGATATATACTGTGGAACTATTTAAGAACTTGTCATAAATATCACTTTTGTTTTTAAATTATTTTATTTAATTTACTCTTCCAAAATTACAAAGTGGTATGTTTTCATCACAACCATTAAAAACAATACAAACATCCATAAGTAAAATATAATTAATCTCCTTTCTGCCTCCTGGGGTAATCAAGGTTAATAATTTGGTATGTATTCTTTCACATGTTTCTTCCTAAGTATCACTTCATATTACTTTATCATGCAGGTGCTTGTGTCGTCTTCTTGTTCCAAAAGTTTCTCAAATGCAGGAATCTGAAAACAAGTAAGTTATTTCAGCAGAAATGATGTATTCATCATTAGAAAAATCATAGTAGTAGCTTTCAATATAAACTTTATATTGAGAGAGGGGTAGAACAGTGGGTAAGATCAGTATAGGCTCTGGGGCTAGCCTTCTGGCTTTATATCCTGGCTCTTCCACTTATTAGATGTGTGACCTGGGCTTGTGTTTCACCATCTGTACAAAGGGAATAGTAATAGTACCTACTTTGTGGGGTTGCTGTCATGACTGGAAGAGTAAAGATGTGTAAAACACTTAGAAGAAAATGACCAGGCACTTACTAAGCCCTCAACAATGGTAGCTATGATTTCATTATGATATTGCATCTGTTTCCTTCTTTCTTAAGAGGAGACTTAAATTTCCATATATCCCTTACTTTCCCACAGAAACATATAACCTTGTTGGCTTGTTGATTCTGATCCTGATTCTGTATCAGCTCAGCTGAGTATTCAAATACCTCTCTGTTCATAGTTTCTATGGCATACGTTATCAAGAAGTTAACAGTTTGTGGAAGAATTGGGTCACCTATATTTTCCATTCACAAAATTTACTATGTCCTAATGATTTGAAAGACAGCTCGATTCAAGGCCTTGATTGGGAACACCTTTCAGGGAACTATTACCATCTCTGCATTTTCAGACAAAACTCTGCTTTTTGTGTATCTCTTCTTCACTTTGGCTTTATACATTTGTACCTGGAGACATATTTTTTCAGCTGAATTTTTTGGAAATGCCTGTGACTGAGATAATAATTGGATTGATAATATTGGATTTCATAATATGAATTTTACCTGAGCATGTATCTTAAGTTTTGCCTCTTTACAGGCTCTGTGAAGGCAACTCAATCAACAACAAAAAAAAGATATTGAGATAATTGGAAATTTGAATAATGACTAAATATTTGATGATATTAAGAAATCATTAATTTTTAGGCATATAATGGTAATGTGGTTATGTTTCTTAAAAAGAGTCCTTGGCTGCTAGAGACATATCCTAAAATATTTATGGATGAAATGATGTGATGTCTTGACTTTCCTTCAAAATAATAAAGTGGGTAGAGGGTGTCACTGAGGTAAGATTGATGATGAGTTAATAAGTATTGAAGATGACTGATGGGTACATGGAGATTCACATATATGTTAACATATAAGTATCTTTGAGATTTTATGCAATAAAAAGTTAAATGAACAAAGTAAACTAACAAAATAGAAACAGACTCATAGATATGGAGAACAGACTGACAGCTGTGAGGGGAAGGGAGTTGGGGCCTGGATGAAAAGGTGAAGGGATAAGCAAAAAAAAAAAACAAACTCTCATAGACACAAGCAGCAGTATAGTGATTAACAGAGGTAAAGTGAGGTGAGAGAGGTAGAAGAGGATAAAGTAGGGATAAGTAGTGATGGAAGGAAACTCGACTTGGGGTGGTAAACATGCAATACAATATACAGATGAGGTGTTATAGTATAGTAAACACGAAACCTATATAATTGTATTAACCAATGTCACCCAATAAGTTCAATTTTAAAAGTTAAAAAATAAAAAAGGAAACTGAGAGACTAAACCTTGATAGCCACTAGATTGTAAGAGCTCCTTGAAGGCTAGGAATATTTGTGTTTACCTGGAACCTCACGTATTACCTGACACATTGATTTATTTAAACGACTGAATGTAAGTTCTTTAAAAGAAGATCTTTATCACTAGACTTACAAGGTGCTTCATAGCCCATGTAATTGTGACATACAGTCAAGTCCCACTGATTGAAACCAATTTGGAGATGGGGAAAAGGAAAGGGATCCTGTTTGAATTAATGATAAACTTAAATTACAGAAGACTTTATACCCTTATTGTTTTCAAATAAATATAGTAATAAAGAACATTTGCTAGCAATGATTTCAGGTAGTGGTCAGGACCTGATTTAACAAATTGATTATACTAACTTTTTTTTAAAGCCTCGTTCAATGGGAAGAGACAGAGAATTGAATTTTAGTTTCAGCTACTTTACAAATTCTGGCTTACCGTAGGTAATAACAACTTATTTAACTTCTCTTAGCTGTATTTTCTTCATCTGTTAAGTAAAGAAAAGCTGGACTGGATAATTCTAAAGTTTATTTCTCTTCTAAAAATCCTGTTTTTTTAATTAGCAGTATCTACCTAAGTATTAACAACTTTGTGTGCTAAAATTTTAAAAGCACGTTGTCTCTTAAAAAACCCACTCATCCCCTTTTAATATCCTCATACTTATTTGCATTATTTATTTGCATTAATGGACCCTTGCTAGATTATTTTATGTAGTCACTGAATTAAATAGGAAAGAAAGTAACTAGCTCAGCTGAAATTCAAAGTAATAAAATTTACTATAAGAAGTTATATAAAGCAAAATTCTAATCTTTATCTCTGAGAAAGCTGCTACTGCTCTTGAAGCACAATATTTATTATATAATACTAGACCTCCTGATGAAGCCAGTTTTAGAAATAGTATGCTCTACCCCGCTTCCTCTAACCTTTCTTAGTTGAGTTTGCCAATATTTCCATATTCATTCTTTTGTTTAAGTAAAACAGAATGTTCTCCTCTGTTAAAAATCATATACTCCTTGAAGAAGCTTGACTAAGGATCAAGAGACCTGGGTACTAGTCTTGACATTGTCATTATTTTTATGACCTTGGACACATCATCCCCCACTTCCAGATCAATTTTCTCTGGACAGGATAAGTGGTTTTTAAACTAGATTCCTGAGAACCCTGGGAATTCTGTGGCACTGACTCAGGGACTTTGAGGAAGGTGAGGATTTAGGCCTCCATCCACCACTAGTTAAACCAGAGCCATCTAAGCTTTTATCTTTTCTTGCCTATTAGACTTTTATAAAATTTTACTTGAAACAAGAGTTTTAATTTCCTCTCTTCAAAAAAAAAAGCAAACAAAACTTGAAAACCACAGAGATCACTACCCCTCTTCAAAAAAACAAAACAAAACTTGAAAACCACAGAGATCACAATCTACTATTACATTCTATGGCCCTGTGATATAAAACCTTATCAGTCAATGAAATTCTTTGCTGAAAGTACGTGTAGAAGGGGAAAAGAGAAAAAAACATGAGGGCACTGGGGATGAGGAACAGGGTCCTGTAGTGGGCAAAAATAGTGTTGAAATGACATGTTAGAGGCTTGAACAACAAACTTTACAATTTTGCATTTTTGCACAGCTCTCAGGCACCAATAGGGTCTCATTGTGGTACTTTTCTATAGTAAAGCCTTGGAACAGTAAGAAAACACTCTTTTCTTTATTTTCTAGAAAAATGGAAACTGATAGACTTCTGACTGGCCTGAATACAGGTAAATATCTCCTTGGCCATTTTCAGTCCTTTATCTCACCTCTATCCTCTGTTAAATTCTCTAATTACATTGAGCACACTGACTCAGACTTCATGTATGAGTTAAGCCTCATGCTTTTAACATTGGTCACAGCAGTCTACCTTCGTTTCTTTTTTCACAAGCAGAGAGAAGTTTGTCATCCCTAGCATTCATCCCCAAATGTGATTTCAGCTCTGTTTCTCTCCCAATTGATTTTTAGAGCATTTCCTGCCTTCGTCTCCTGCTAGTAGTCATGTTCTCTGAATCAAATTCAGATTGTTTACTTTCATTTTGAAACTTTCCACCTATCTACTCAAGCCTGTGTCATATCCCCTATCTACTAATAATTCCTCTCTGTCCCCTATTATTCAAGCTAACCTTCTAGCTATATCTCATTCCTTTTCCAACTCCATGCTTCCTGACATGGTATCTCCCTTTTGCCTAACAAGTCTTCCCACTTCTAGTGCTCACATACTTATTTCCTTAGGTCCAAAACATACCAACTCCACCTTTTAGAAACTCTGTTTATTGCCGTAGTTCAATTTTGTACCCCAAATACATATCAACAAGGTGTTAAATGTGGCAACGAGGTTTAGAAACCAAAGTTCTTCAAAAGAGAATAACTTTGCTGGTTGGTATCCTTATCTCTCAGAAGGGCATGTGGGTATGTAGTAAATGCTTTCTGATCACATCATGTTCTTTGTTCTGTAATGTGCTTGCTGTGGGAGTTCAGTAAATATTATACCAGCCTATCAATACTCTTCCCATTCTCAGTCTCCACTTCAGTCTTTTTTCTAACTTTGTTTTTAGGTTTACACTATCATGATCCAATTCTTTATTTCCTTACATGTAAATCATATCTTTCTACCTCAGGTGGTGACTGATTGCTTTAATTAAAATTGTAAATCTCTCCAAAAACGTGTTTATTCCTCAAAGTTTGAATTAATAGCTTCTTGGAGCTTGCTAATGCTTTTTGTCACTTTAATTACTTTTAGTATGCACCACTGTGCACACACACACAAAGAACTTTCTAAATTCAAACTCATGTTCCACTGTTTTTAAAGCAGGATTAACAACTTTGCTATAGTAAAAGACCTCAATATCAAATTTTCTTGTTTGATGCAGCACTCGTGAAATTTTCCCAGGCTTCTGTTGGAAAAGCCTCGACTTCAGACTCAAGAATTAATGAAGCTCACTGGTTTAGAAAAATAGGTAAGAGAAAATTCTGTGGCTATGGGCAACATTGTGGGGTGGTAGAGTCAACAGATGTGGATTCAAATTCTAGCTCTTCCATTTGTATCTGTGGGTACAAGGATAACCTGCTTAACCTCAGGTTAATTATTTATAAGATGAGAGCAATTAATGTATACTTTGTAGGATTGTTAAGAGTTATAAATGAAACATTGTATGTACCTGGAACATAGTAGGTACTCAGTCAATATTAGTTTTCTTCCTTTTTGATAGAAATGGGTCTAAAAACTAAAATAATGAACCATAACTGCAGATCTCCAAGGTTATGCCCCTAAGCGTGGTCTAGAATGTCCAATTTATCTCTGAACATGATTCATCAAAATAAACTCCATGCAACAATATGGATGAATCTTACAAACTTAATGTTGAGCAAGAGAAGCCAGGCATTGAGTATGTATTATATGATTCCATTTACATATGGTAAAAAGAAAATAACACCAGACAAAACTAATTTATGATGTTAGAACTCAGGATAGTGGTTACCCTTGAGGGAGGTTGGACTTTGAAGAGGGTTGATGGGGTTGCTTCTGAGTTTCTCGTAATGATCAAGATCGTTCTTGATCTGTATTGGCTACATGGATATATATATTCACTTTGTGAAAATTCATCAAGCTGTATGTACAATTATGAATTTGGTGGAGGCAGTTACTACAGTGATAAGTAAACAAGAGCAATTAAGCGGCAATATCACAAAGTGGACCGATTCTACATGGACCTTTTTCTGCTTTATGGAGTTTACTGGGGCTCTAATCTAGGAGAAAGGGGAATAAATACAGCAATTTGGCTTCTGAGAAGCTTATGCAAATAAAGGTTGAATGACTTTCATTTTTTTGGAAAGTTTGAAAAGTTACTTTCCAATACTTCTTTTACTGACTTTTAATTTTGATATTCCAAGGTGAAGATCATGCTGAATGTTGCCTAATGGGGGCTTCTACTGCTCCATGGAAGATGTAAATCTTTACAGCAGTTTTCTTCAACTCTTGATTCTAGTGTACCATGTTATTTGCTAAATTTTAACTTCTTTTCACCAATGCCAATTGGTGAGCTCCTTGGTGAGCCTCACTTTTTAGATGGATTTATGCTAAGAACTTATTGTATATCCTCCAATTTTTTCAAAAGCAGCACTATCTCCATTGGTCATTGGCCTAGAATTGAACATTGTAAGTAATGGAAGTCTCTAAATTTACCTGGAAAAATTTCTCTAAAAACTAAAGTTAGCTTTCTTTTTTTTTAACCCTAATAACAGTACATTTAAGCAGTAAATTTTCATAACTATATTATTTCACATTAACTTTCAGCTTGGAATTTGGCTGTGCAGTGCAGCAAAGACCCAGTGACAATGAGAGAGTTTTTCATGCTTTCTTACAAGGTGAGTCTCTTCTAATAAATATCTCATATATCTACCACAACAAGTATGTCACCATTATGGCTAAATATAGAGTGGGATTGGCTTTTAATGTAGGGGCTTTTGATGTATGTCTAAGCAGGAATGACCTAGAGAATGCAATCCCTATAAGGTGTAATGAAGCAGGTCTCCCCCATACCAAAACATGGCTAACAACCATCACTGAGCTTGAAGTTCTACCATAAGAGACTTACTTCCTTGCCTTTGAAGGAAGTTCAGTCTCCCAAAGGCCTATATTAAAATATAACTTTGTTTATGAGGGGGATCCTCTAAAACATTGTCAGTTATCAAAACATTAGGAAGGTTTATGTGTGAAAGTCTAGAGAAATATAGAATAGGTAGGTGTCTGGGGACAACCAGAGGTAAAAGGGATGCTAAGAAGCCTGGGCCTGCTTCATAATTTTTCCTAGAGCGGGTTCTGTGTGTAAAGACTTGTGAGCTTGTTTTGTAATTATAAGCATTTTTAAATAGTTGTTAACCTCCAAGGTATAGGTTAAATTCCAGAAAGAAAAACAAGTACAGTATTCATGAAAGAATAAAAGGGGGACTAAAGAATATTGCTTATACATTCAGGAGTATACAGATTGATATACTAAGATAGATTAAATGGTAAGAGTTTTCAAATGAAAAGGAACTATAGAGATAATCCAGCACAACTCCCTTGTCTTATACACAAATAACCTGAGACCTAGAGAGACTGGATGTCTCGAGCTATTAATTCAATGATGGTGATGGTGATGATCACTAAACATTTGGGAAGATTAAGAAATAGTCTTTGGAAGTTTAGGTATTATTTTAATTAATTAAGTGAAATAAATTACTTTTAGTTTCAACATTTGTGATAGCACTAGTAAGATTCCATGTGAAAATCTCAAGTGGCCTAGAGTTTTATTTTAATACAAAGTAGGGAGGTTTTTTTTTTTCCCTAAAGCTAGAGAACAAGGTTTGATGATGATGTTATGTCTAAAGCCTGTCAAGATTTGGCATTGTCTCTTTCAGTCATGACAATATATGTACTAATTTCAGCTGTATTCAGTGCAAAGGGGGAATCTATTTGTGGGGGAAGAAATCACCTAGAAATTACAACATAAACCAAGAAGTAGATCACTAGATAGAAATACGGGGCCAAATGACAGTACTTGTCACTGGGAAAGATAGGAAAATTGTGAAGAAATGAAGCATTTTATCTCTAGAAAGATGCTTAAAAAACAATGGAAAGTAATGTAAAATTGAAACCATAAATGAATGTTATGGTCTATATCATTTGTAAGGTGAGATGTGCTTTTCCAGCTGAATTTTCTCATTCAGACAGAATACTGCTGATTTTCATTCTGATTGTTTGTGTTCACCTGGCAGAATTCTCAGTATTCATTGATGTTCTGGTTATTTCTTATCAGCTGTCCCAGTTTTGTCCTTCTGATGAAGTAATTCTGATTGCACAGAAAACATGTTTACTGATGGCAACTTCGGTTGATCTAGAGCAAGCAAGAAGAGCTTCAACAGCTTTTGAACAGGTAATGTGTAACCTTCAAATAAAACAAAAGAGTTCAGTATACTATTTGGTATGTTTGTCTTCCCTGATGCAGTTCTTTTGATTCTCTTTAGAGAATTCTTTCCTCCCTTCCAGCAGCATCTTGATTTCAAAGGTTTATAATGGCTAATTCCTTCCTAAGGAAAGGTTACCTTTGTCTTGGCCTCTTCTTTCAAAAAGATTGAATGTCTCTTTTAAAATACCCCTTCTCATGGACCACTCTTTCTGAATCTATTTTTTAAATCTATTTTTAAATAATCTTTATCTTCATCATCTCCCTGTGATCATATGTGATGCATAGTTTTTTCTCTTTTGTTTCCTTTCACATACTCTCTAAAGAAGAACTCATCTACTTCCACGGTTTGGATAAGCCATCTGAAATTATTTACATAGCTTGTTCTTCACTCAGTTGCTTTTGCTTTCTTTGACCCATGTCTTTCAATATTTTATCATTAACTCAGTTTTAACCAGAAGACAGAATTCCTACCCTTTGCCTGAATTCCACTCTGAGCTTCTTAAACCTTTCCCCTTTGGGGAGATAACCAACATCAACATCTCAGTCTCCCATACACCAGAGTATCGGTTTGCCTTTAGTTCTTTACCTTCCTTCCAAACTATGAAAATTGCCTGCAAGTTGAACCACTAGCATTTTTTGTATGAGGTTAAGATCTGGGTACCTACTATTTTTCTTTTACCTAGGAAAAAAAATCCTTCCTAACTTCCCAAATTTGCCAGCTTCTTTTTTTCTAATTGATGTAAATCCTTCCTCCTGGTTATTCTCTTCCTTCTGTTAATTAATCTCTTTTTTCATAGGATTCTTCATATCTGCAACAAACTCTCACAGATCTCTGCTGACGCATTTTCCTTCCTTTCTCTTCCCTTGTTGAGTACAATTCAAAAACCATATGACTACCAAGCACTCTGCTAAGTACCTGGGGATCAAGAAGACAAAGTCCTTATCCCTAAGGAGCAAAGTGTCCTCTTTTTAGAAACCTTTACATTGTAAAAGATGAGAAAAGATCTATGTGCCCCAGAGCAAAATGAAAAACAACCATTTTTGCTTCTTAACAAGTAAGGGCAAATGTAATTTTATTTTCAATAGCGTTTTTATGCCTTACTAAAAAATAGTTACAGGATCTTGTTTTTGCATAGTGCTTTTAACTTTTTTAAAGTTTTCCTTTTAAGTTGGTAGCCCTAATTTTGTCAAATTTTGTATCTCAGTGAATAGAGACCAAATTGACATGAGAAAAATTTCACAAACTCTTAAGTACAGTACTTAATTATTTTGTTTGTTTCTAACAACTATTCTTTTTTTTCCTCCTGTTCTTTCTCTTGCATGCCCTTATGTTTCCTAAGAGCTCTCTTAGTAACCCTTATATAACTTTCTTTGCCTTTGAAAGGATGTCTATTTAGGTAATTGAAGATGCACTTCTGCCTTTTACCATCTAAATTTGGTCCCTATGAATGATGCTTTCTCTAATGAGGACTTGTTGAATTCTACTAAATACATCTATTCCTTGTTCTCTTGAGTCCTCATAAATTGGAATATTTTTAAATAAACAGATGATGAAGGACTACAGATATCCCACATAATCTTATCAACATTGTTTCTACTCTCCTGAATATGAGTTAGGGGGAAGTGAAGGATGTTTTAAAAAATATATGAGTATAGTAATTGTAATTTATCAAGGAACCACATCTTTTTCCTAGAACAGGAGTGGATAAATTACTACTAACTGGCCAAATCAGGCCTACGGACTGTTTTTCTATACCTTGAGAGTTAAGAATGGTTTTTACATTTGTAAAAGGTTATAAATTAAAATACAGAAAAATATGTGAAGGAGAATTTATGTGGCTGGCAAAACCTAAAATATTTATTGTCTGGCCTTTTACAGAAAAGTATCCTGACCCCTGTCCTAGAATATTTTTAACAGACTTACTGTGGTATAATTGATATACTTTATAATTCACCCATTTAAAGTATACAATTTAATGTTTTTTAGAATATTCACAGAGTTGTGCAACTGACAACACAATCTCATTTTAGAACTTTTCCCTCAATCTAAAAATTCCTTACCAATTAACAGTGACTTTCCATCCCTACCACCAACCCTAGGCAACCATCTACTTTCTGTCTCTATAGATTTGCCTGTTTGGGATATTTCATGTGAATGCCATCATACTATTTATAGTATTTTGTAACTGGCTCCTTTTATAATTCTTCAGTAATGTTTTTTAGATTCTCCATGTTGTAGCTTGGATCAGTACTTCATTGCTTTTTAATGGCTGAATAATATTCCATTGTATGAATACATTGTATTTTGTTTTGACCATTCATTCATTGATGGATATTGAGGTTTTTCCACTTTTCAGATATTATGAATAATGCTGCACGTCCAAATTTTGTGTGGATATGTTTTTTTGTTTCTCTTGAGTATATACCTAGAAGTGGAATTGCTGTGCCATATGGTAACTCTATGTTTAATCACTGGAGGAACTACCAGACTGTTTTCCAAAGCAGCTGCACCATTTTACATTCCCACCATCAATGAATGATAGTTCCACTTTCTCTGTCTCCTTGCCATCACTTATTATTACGTTCTTTAGATTACGGTCATCCTAGTGAGTATGAAGTACTATCTCATTGCAGTTTTGATGTGTATTTCTCTATTGATGTCATTACTAATGATGTAATGACTAATGACAAAGATACGCTGAGCACCCTTTACATGTGCTCATTTGCCATTTGTATATCTTCTTTGGAAAGTGTCTATTCAGATTTTTTAAAACATTTTATTTATTTATTTATTTATTTTTAGAAAGAGGAGAAGGGAAGGGAAAACGAGAAGGAAAGATACATCGATGTGTAAGAGAAACATCGATCAGCGGCCTCTCGCACGCCCCCAACTGGGGACCTGGCCCACAACCCAGGCACATGCCCTGACCAGGAATTGAACCAGTTGGATGCCCAACCCACTGAGTCACACCAACCAGGGCATATAGCTCTCTTATATAAAAGGCACTAATCCAGTTCCTGAGGGCTCCACTCTCGTGACTTTGGCACCTCATAATGGCCCCACCTACTAATACCTTAACCTTTGAGGTTATGATTTTAACATAAATTTGGGGGGGACACATTCAGACTATTGCACAGTGCTTAAGCAGCATCTCGTTAGTTTTGTGGTGTGTTGCATTTTTCTTTTTATTCATCTCAAAGTATTTTATAATTTTCATTGTGTTTTTTGACCCATTGTTTACTTAAGAATCTGTTGTTTATTCTCTTCTTGTTCTAGTCTTATTCCACTATAGTCAGAGTACATACTTTGTGAACTTCTAACATATTTTATGTTTACATGAAGTCTGTGTTGTGGCCTAGCAGCATATGGTCTATCCTGAAGAAAGTGCCGTATCTGCTTTAGAAAAATGTATATTCTTTCTGGGTTGGTGGAAGTCTATGGATATCTATTAGGTATTAAAAAACTATATATAGTTTTATACAATTGCCTTTTAAAAGTTAAGAGAGGAAAGAAGAAATATATCTTTATATTGTCTTTTAGAGTTACACAATTACTTTTACTGGTGAACTTTTTTTTTTTAATTCAAATTACTATCTGGTGTCACTTGCTTTCAGCCTGAAGAACTTCTCTTAGGTTTGGTTTTTGTTTTGTTTTGTTTTGTTTTTTTTGGTAAAAATGGTTCTGCTAATAACAAATTCTCTCAGCTTTTATTTATCTGGGAATATATTTTACTTTCAGTTCTGAAAGATAGTTTTGCTGGACATTAGATTCTTGCTTACTGTTATTTTCTTTCATCCCATTAAATGTGTTATCCCATTGCTTTCTTTATTGAGACACTGTATTTGCTGAGGCAATGTCATCAGACTCTGTCTTTGTGTGGTTTCCTTTAGTTGTTTGAATATATTCCAAATAGATTCTTTGAAAAAATAAAATAAAATAGATTCTTTGAAATCTGTGTCTGCTAAGTTCAACATCTGCATCTTTTCAAAGTAAGTTCCTGTTGCCTGCTTTTTTTTTCCCCCTTGCATATGAGTCACACGTTCCCATTTCTTTGCATATCTCATCGTTTTTTGTTGAATACTGGACATTTTAGATGACATATTGGAGCATCTTTGAACACTGATTCCCCTCAGGGGCTTGTTGTTAATATTTTCTTGTTAATTTGTTTAGTGAGATTTGGCTGAGCTAGTTCATTGAAGTGTATTTCCTCCACAGCTGTATCACTCCTCAGAGGGCACAGTCTCCCTGACCCCTCTTCCCCAAAGGGATGAAAGTGCTTTTTAGCAAGGCTATTTTTTACTATCCCTTTCCCTAATCTGCCCGTTCAGCCTCTAAATGGCCTTATTCCATTAGTAGCATGCCTAGGTATTAGTCCTAACTCTGTGTGTGTTCAGAAATGCTCTTTGGCATAAATTGAAGAGGAAGGGGTCTTCTTAGCTTTTGTTTCTTCCCCTAGTTCTCTCTGTAAACTGCGAGCTGGTGTACTGTTTGCTTGTTGATATATCATTGAGCTATCAGTCACCTCTTAATTGTTCAACACGAAGATCTCCATGGTTTTTTTATAGTGCCCTTAGACTTGAACATTTCCATGCTCTGTTCCAATTAAAGTCAGTCCTTTCAGGGAGAACTGCAAAGCTCGCTCTACTAATGGCCTGCCTTACCTCTTGAGGAAAAACTTTCTTTGCCCCTTATTTCATTACTGGAGGCAGGGACAGTGGCCCATTTCTATCAGAGTGACAGTCCAGCTCTATGAGTAGAAGGCTGGGCAGGAGGAGTCAGTCCCTGGCATTCTTGGCTTACCCCTCCCAGCATGGAAACCCTAGCCTATAAGCAGGCTGAGGTAAGGGCAGTTGAGACCTAGTATTCTCAGTTTGCTATGCCTGGTATGTGGTGGGGACTGGGTAGAGGAACAGAGCTCCGGGCCTCTCAGTTGTGCTTGTTTTATAATAGAGCTTCTGCAACATAGACCTGGGGAGGGAGATGAGAAGTACTGGCAGCATACTCCTTCTGGGAATTTCTAGCCTGGAGACTGAGGGTAGAGGGAGCCCCATCTTCTCAGCCCCACCCACTTAAAGTAGTACTTACATCACACTGAGCTGGGGGGTTGGTCGGCAGATCATGAATTAACTGCCACAGGTGCTCACTGTTCTTACTGAGACTTAGTAGATTTCTTGGAATAGATTTGCTATATGCCCTTAGGCCAGTTTCCTGAGACTACGTGATTGTGTTTTATACTTTTCAGTTATGGTTGTTTTGTTAGGGAGAGGGTCCATGGAGCTCCCAACACCACCATCCTGGAAGTGCTTCTCTTCTGTCCTAGGTTATTTTAAAAATTGATAATATTCAGGTTTTCTATTTAATCCTCATTTTCCTGGTACACTAAGAAAAAAATATAAATAGAGGCTAATGTTTCTATATAAATTCTAAAATGTTCAGTTTAAACTTAATCATTTTATTTTTAACTTTTAATGAAAATGATATTAAGATTATGCTAATTTGGTTAAAATTTTGTTTGATTGAAACTAACTTTTTTTGTTCATTTCTGCCAAATAGACCAGATACCTGAATTGTGCACTTGAGCAGATCCATGAATGCAGAGACATCTGGAATCTCCTGAAAGAAACAGGTATTGTGGGAACTGGGAGTTTGGTAATGCAGTTATAAAAGGTGTTTGAAACCTGAAAAACTTAGTCATTTATCACCAGAAATTTGTGCCACTGCAGAACTTGATAACCAGTCAAATGATTCTTTTAGAACTAAATTTTCCCCATTATATGTCTGTATTTTGGCTCTGGCACACTGCTTGGAGTGAAAATATTTTTTACTTTGCTTTTTATACAAATATAGTATTGAATATATATGATATTATTGCTCTCATATTATGATATTATTGCAATCATATATGTGATATATGATTGGTAACTTAATCAACTTTTAATGCTGACTAAATATAGGCGAAACAGTCTTCCAAACCACAATCACAATATCAGATACTGCTACTATTTTGTTATGAAATAATGAAAATAGTAGTGAACATTTTCAGGGTTACATAGTGGCTTCTGTTTCTTCATTAAGGATGGTACTGGCTTTTCAGATAGACTTTTTTGTATTGTGTCCATCTCTTCCTGTTTTAGTTAGAATTTTTAAAAATCAATAGATAATGAATTACATGTCTTTTCAGATTCTATAGTCATATTTTTTCTCTTTTTAAGTATTAACATTTTGAATTATAATAGATGTCCTAAAATTAAGTAATCATAGCATTTCTTGAACAAACCCTACTTGGTCATAGTGTGCTTTTATTTTTTTTTAAATGTTGATGAATTTAGTTTCCTAATAACCCTAAATTATTGGTGTGTCATTTTCTTTTTTTAAATAGTTAATTTTTGTATTTTTTCATTACCATTTATCCCTCTTATACCCTCCTCTACCTCCACCTCCCCACCGCAGTCACCGCACTGTTGCCCATGTCCATGAGTTCTTTTTCTTTTTTGCTCAATCCCTCCATCCCCTCAACCCCAACACCCACAGCTGTCAGCTTACTCTCTACGAGTCTGCCTCTAGTTTCCTTGTTAGTGCAGTTTATTCATTAGATTCCACACATGAGTGAAATCACATGGTATTTGTCTTTCTCTGACTGGCTTATTTCACTGAGCATAATGTTCTCCAGGTTCATCCATGCTGTCACAAAGGGTAAGATTTCCTTCCTTTTTATTACCAAGTAGTATTCCATTGGGTAAAGGTACCACAGCTTTTGTATCCACTCATCTACTGATGGACACTTGGGCTGCTTCCATATCTTGACTATTTTAAATAACACTGCAATGAACATAGGGATGCAGGTATTTTTTAAAATTTGTGTTTTGGGCTTCTTTGGCTATATTCCCAGAAGTGGAATCATTGGGTCATAAGGCAGTTCCCTTTTTAATTTTTTAAGGTAACTCCACACTGCTTTCCACAGTGGCTGCACCAATCTGCATTCCCACCAACGGTGCAGAAGGATTCCCCTTTCCATCCTCGCCAGCACTTGGTATTTGTTGGTTTATTGATGACAGCCATTCTGGTGGATGTGAGGTGACACTCATTGTGGTTTTAATTTGCATCTCTCTGATGATTAGTGGCATTGAGCATTTTTTCATATATCTATTGGCCATCTGCCTGTCCGTCCTCTTTGCAGAAGTGTCTATTCACGTCCTTGGCCCATTTTTTAATTGGATTGTTCGTCTTCCTGGTGTCTTCCTGGAGTTTTGTAAGTTCGTTATATATTTTGGAGATTAACCCCTTATCAGCAGCCTTATTTACAATTGCCAAGATCTGGAAACAGCCCAAGTGCCCATCAGTAGATAAGTGGATAGAAAAGCTGTGGTACATTTATACAACACAATACTACACGGCCATAAAAAAGAAGAAAATCTTTCCTTTTGCCACAGCATGGATAGACCTGGAGATTATTATGCTCAGTGAAATAAGCCAGAGAAAGACAAATGCCATGTGATTTCACTTACATGTGGAACCTAATGAACAAAATAAAAACAGAGGCATGAATACATGGAACAGGCTGACTGATCTCAGGGGGAAGTGGGGAGTGGGGATTGGATGAAAGAAGGTGAAGGGATCAACTAAAGAACATACATGCATGACCCATAGACACAGGCAACAGTGTGCTGATGGCCACAGGGAAGTGGGAGCGGGGGCTGAGTAGAGGTGGGCAAACAGGGTGGGAAATGGGGACATCTGTAATAGAGTCAGCAGTAAAAATTTTGTTAAAAGTAACTTCTCATTCTCTTTCTCCCAGCCTCTCATAACCTCTAATGAACTTTTTTGTCTCTATGACTTTGCCTGTTCTAGATAATTACATTTAAGTGGAACCACACAATATTCGTTCTTGTGAGATGGCCTTATTTCACTTAGTATAATGTTCTCAAGGTTTATCAATGTTGTGGCATATCAGTACTCCATTCCTTTCTATGGCTGAATGATATTTCATTGTATATACCACATTTTGTTTATCAATTCTTCTGTTGATAGGCACTTGGGTTGTTTCCACCTTTTTGCTATTGTGAATAATGCTGCTTGAACATTGGCGTACAAGTATCTGCCTGAGTCCCTGCTTTCAATTTTGGGGTCTAAATCTAGGAATAGAACTACTGGGTCATGCAATAATTCTACATTTAATATATTACAGAAATGTGCACTGTTTTTCATCGCAGCTGCACCATTTTACATTCACACAGGCACTGAATGAGAGTTCTATTTCTCTGCCTCCTTGCCACCACTTGCCACATAATTGTCTTTTGGATTATAGCCATCCTGGTGAGAATAAAGTACTATTTCATTGTGGTTTCGTTTGCATTTCCCTAATGACTGATGATGTTGAGTATCTTTTCATGTGTTTATTGGTCATTTATGTATCTTTGGGAAAAAACAACTTGTCAGTCAAATCCTCTGACCATTTAATTGGGTTGTTAGTCTTTTTTATTGTTATATGAAACCTAAAGAAAAACCTAAAAGCTTTTTTTCTACTCCTGTATCTGTCTTGTGTGCCTCCTTTGCCGTAAAGGAAAACACTTCACTTCTGACATTTCTGGTCACCAAATGTGTGGGAATTTCTTCCCACACCAAGCAATTCTCTGCAACACCAGCTGGGTGCCCAACAATTCAATTCAATTCAATTCTGACACTATCCAAAGATAACATTAGACCCCACTGTTTATGGGTTCATTCCCATTTCAGATGCCAGTAGCAAGTCCAGATTGCCTCCAGGGCTTCTGACCAACCAGCTATATAGATCAGTGGTTCCAACAACTCTCGCCTTGGGTTTGGTCAATTTGCTTGAATGGCTCACAGAATTCAGGGGGACATTTTCTTATACTTACCAGTTTATTATGAAAGGATGTGGTGAAGAATACAGATGAACATGCAGATGGAAGAGATGCACAGGGCACGAGGTATGTGGGAAGGGGTATGGAGTTTCCATGCCCTCTGCTGGCATCACCCTCCCAGCACCCCCACGAGTTCACCAGTCCAGAAACTTTCCAAACCCTGTACTTTGGGTATTTTTATGGAGGCTTCATCACATAGGCATGATAGATTATTAAGTCCATTTCCAGCCCTTCTGTCTTCTTAAGAGAATGGGATGTGGTGCTGAAAATTCCAAGCTTCTAATCATAGTTTGATCCTTCTGGTGACTAGCCCTCATTTAGGAGCCATTCAGGAGCCCACCCAGAGTCACCTCATTAGAACAGAAAACATTTCTCTCACCCAGGAAATTACAAGAATTTTAGGAGCTCTGTGCTAGGAACCAAGGAACAACATACACTTTTTTCTACTATCTCACAAATCCCTTGTCAGATATATCATTTGCAAATACTTTATTCTATAGTTGTCTTTTCACTTTCTTGATGATGTCCTTTGATGCACCAAAAATTTTAATTCTGATGAAGCCCAACTTGCCTTCCTTTTCTTTTATTGTTCATGTTCTTGGTTTCATATTTAAGAATCCATTGTCAAATATAGAGTCATTTGCCTCTATGTTTTCTTCTTAGAGCTTTATAATTTCAACTCTTATATTTAGCTCATTGATTTATTTTGAGTTTGTTTTTGTATATAGTGTGAAATAAGCATCCAACTTCATACTTTTATGTGTGGAAATCCATTTGCCCCAGCACTATTTTTAAGAGACTTTGCTTTCCCCATTGAGTAGTCTTAACACTCTTGTCAAAAATCAGCTGGACATATTTGTATGGGTTCATTTCTGGATTTCTCAATTTTGCTTTATTTTGCTGGTCACAAATGCAAAAATGGAAACAATTGGTTAGGAAATAAATTATCTGGCAGAAGTAATTATGCAAATTTACTTAGTGGCCCTTTTTTTTTTTTTGCATGCCTCCTTATATACGAAACAATAATCCACTTGGCACGTAATGTTATAGTAATCCTTTAACCAAATATATGGCAATGCAATTCAAAATTGCAACTTTCAAATTATTATAAAAGCTCAAACATAGCATCAACTTTTAAGTCAGTGAAACTACCGTTGTAGGGATCAGAGGTAATATGACCATTTTTTTCGTTGATGATAGAAAAATAAAAATTATTACAATTAAATGGAACCTATAAGTCAGGTGTCATTTCTCTACCACATATAAAGTAGCATCATACTCATTCTCTGTCACCTGCTTCAGCCTTATTGAGTACCACACTGTTTTGATTACTGTTGTTTTGTAGTGAGTTTTGAAGTTGGGAAGTGTGAGCCCTCCAACTTTGTTTTCTCTGTAAGATTATTTGGCTTTTTTATTTCTGCAAAAAGGCTATTGGAATTTGGGTAGGTATTACTTGGGGTAGTATTGATATCTTAACAATATTAAGTCTTCCAGTAAGTGAACATGATGGGATAGTTTAGGTCTTCTTTAATTTCTTTCATCACTGTTTCATAGTTATCAGTGTACAAGTCTTTCACCTCCTTGGCTAAATTCATTCGTAGGTATTTTATTTTGGATGCTACTGAAAATGTATTTTTTTAATTTCCTTTTTGTTGAGTATGTTCTCTTCTATTCCTAGCTTTCTGAGTGATTTTCTTCTTTATCATGAAAAAATCTTGGATTTTATCAAATGACTTTTCTGCAT